TTTAAAGAATACATATAGTTGGTTCTAAAATTCTAACACAGTTAGCAGGTAAAGTTTTGATGAAAATCACCTTTGTAGCAATTTGTCAAGTATGATCTGATCCTTTTCACTCTCATGAAGGATACCTGTATCTTTAAAATTGACTTCAAAGTCACATAATATGCATGATTGCATGAGGTCCATGTTGAAAAAACAAACTCGTAATATCCTAATCAAGCGTTTGCTTAAAAAAAAATTTAGATTTAAAAACAAAAGTATAGAGAATGGATTTTACATAAATCAAAGTACTGTAAGTACTGATAGACGGTGTCATGAATGATTTTGTTTGTTTAACGTCCCTCTCGAGAATTGTTTCACTCATATTGAGACATCACTATTGTCGTTGGTGGGCTACAAATTTAGATCTATATTCAGCACTCCAGGCCATTGAGTAGTGAGGGATCTTTTTCTGACCAGCACTTACTGCGACATGGGACCTCGGTTTAACTGTCTCCACGTCCCGCAGTGGGATTCGAACCCGCTGCGTAAGGATTGACTCCTTCATGTTCGTGACTCTAGAGCAAACGCTAACCACTGCGCCACACGGCGACTGACATTGAATGAGATAAAATATTATAAGAATCTGTAAAATGATATGATGGAAATTATGAACGTTTATTGCAATTTTTCACGATACATGTTTTTTAAGGTTTTGCCAAAGGTCAGCATGTTCAAAAATTTATTTTTACAATAGCTCCAAAACTATGTGGTTTATAAAGTTAAAACTTTTACAGTTTATAAATATAACAAATATTTATCGAGAAAAAGTCTTTTTAAACTTCGAGCATTTCAGGTTTTTTTTTCTATATGTACTATTGTGGTGTACAGTCAAAATTGCAAATTTAAAAATGAAAACATATTTAAGGATGATGGACAGATTGAAGTTATATATTCAAATAATGGATTTTGGGATGTTTAAGTATTTTTTCCCACAAATTAATGCTTGAAAGGTTTATCCTAAATGATAAATCATAAGGGAATCAAGGTTCCTGATATGTTCATGTAGAGACCGAACATTTTTATTCTAAGATGCATGATTTACAAAAATGTGTCATGAAATCGTGGTGTTTTGAAGTTAGAAATTATGAGTTTATAATTCCAAATCTTTACTCAGTGATCAATAATCAAATTTTGCATCCCCCCCCCCCCCCCAAAAAAAAAAAGAAAATATGAACAATTTTTCGTAACTTATTGGAAAAGTTTTTGAAATTTTGAGTAGAATTGAACCCACAATATTTTTTTTTAACAAAAACTTACTTTTCATAAAGTATATGGTAAAAAGGGAAATGATAAATCACTTTTGGCCATGTACTGTAGATTATGCGACATAAATCATATGCTGAAAGATAATGAAATAGACTTTATCCTTGGATTCCCATCTTTGCCAAATTCCCTGGCTTTAATTAACTTATTCCTAAAAGCTTGAAAGACTTCAGGAATTAAACAGAAGTCTTACTTCTTTGTTTGATATATACTGTTCGAAAAGAAAAAAAAAAGAAGAACAGAAAAACAAAATATTTGACAGCCTCTATTTCTCTATCGTCTCAAGTTCGGAGTCCGCATATAGCTCTCTTCAGATTGGGAGAAGATCGTATATTTTGGTCGTGGTTTGTGACGATGCTATTTCTCGTACGTAATCTTAATATGCACTGACCCTGCTTATTGCTGCTAGCCATTGCGCAATACGAAATTTAATTTGTGAACACACGCAGGAGAAGACTGACCTAAATTAGGCCCACTGAATTCGCAAGAAAATCCTAATATTTCATGCACGTGTATTTTAGTACCTTTTTTCTTACACTTTTTAAAGAGTAAATTTTATTCGAGGCACGATAGAATTTTCAAATACGAATGAAATATATTGTTAACTTTTGTCCATCACAGTCTTTTTAGTTATAACTTTGATAAATTAGCATTCGTTAAGTAGTTTTTGTGTTCGAGATAATTAGGCAATGGCTTATTATTATTATTATTTTTTATAGATAGAATCGTAATAAACTTTGCTTTACGGCATCGTATCTGCCTCCAACAACTCTTTTATTAACTGATTATCGATAAGATGTCGTGATCTTTTTTTTTCTTCCCAAATATATATATATATATATATATATATATTTCTAATATATTATCGTCAACAGATATTAGAAATTCAAACAATCAAAAGACATCGTAAAATTACAGTTAACTTTAAAAGTTTATTGTATAATAAATCCACAAAACGTCTCAAATAAAATATTTATAAAACACGCAATTCCGGAACAAGGAATGTGCAGTCCTCGAATCATATTGTACTTTTGGAATTGGAGAAAATTGGAGATCGACGCTCTCCTAGCATGGAGTATCTCATAATTAGGGAGTATCAAATCGGGAACGTCTCATAATTACCGTTTGTCGCATATATGTAACTAAGAAACCACCGTGGTGTGTTTAGCAATTATAATTATTTGATTTCAAAGTTAAAATGTGAAACCATTATTCTCAAATATTTTTCCATTAAATATTCCGACTATAAATAAATATTATTTAAATTTTACATTAACACAACGTTAAAAAAAAACGGTGTGACTTCTGTAGTTTGCATACGAATATACGAGTCAGTCTGTGTACGAATTAGTTGTAGGTTGGCGTAATTTATATGAATATTCATGAAGCGAGAAATATCGATAACGGCAAATATAAGGATTTAAGCTTTCATGACTTTGTGCCCATCAACAAAATGTCTTTGAAATAACTTGAGAGTATTTGTTAACTATCTGCATTTTATTTTCAAACATTGAATCAACCCTATTTTCATTATTTTCACTCTGCAAAAATCGCCGCTAGGGTCCCCGTGATTTTACACTGTTGTTATTTATAGCCCAAAAGCAACAGCAAATAGCCTGTGGCTATAAATAGCCACCGTCTAAAAATGATGCAGTTTACTTTAAAATATATTCTGTTAACAATTAAAGGAATATTGCAATGGAAGTATGAATTGAATTAATTTGGCTACAATTTTAGGTCCGTAGGAAGTAATATCAGTGTGGGGGAACCTAACAGAAATTCTTGACAAGCGCGAAAGGGGGGATGCCATCAAACGTTTTTGGGGGACACATGCTGGTGTATATTATATACATAAACTGGCAAAATTGAGGGGGCACAAACGTAATTAGCTTTATTTTCTATAATAATATACTGACAAAATTATTGGGGAAAGAACTAGTAACCCCCCTCCTCCCCACCCTGTCCCTGATTCTAAAAAGTAAATTGGGTATTGTGTGTTATATTTATTGAATATATAGAATCTTTTGTTTTCTTGTTTGTTTCTTTAACGTCCCTTCGAGATTTTTTCACTCTCATTAAGACGCCACCAATTGCCGACGAAGGGCTGCAAAGTTAGACCTGTACTGGACACTTACGGCCTTTCACTAGTGAGAGATCTTTTTCTTGCTAGCGCATACTGCAACACGGGACCTCGGTTTATACGGTCTCATCCGCAGGACAGGTTTCCACGTCCCACAGTGGGATTCGAACCCGCGACGTAAGGATCAACTCCTTACTCACTCTTCGCTATATCCAATGCGCCATGCGGCGACGATAGAGTATCTGCAGTAACTAAAGGCTATATGCATGAAAATTCGTTTACTAGAAGAATTACATAAACAAGGTACGATTTGATAATTATTAGTCATATCTGGAATCACGGCGGCGCCTACCCTCACAATGGGATTTAATTCCATGTACAATGTATACAATCTCTCAAATATTTAATTGAAATGGCCTTCATATATTTCGTTAATTAAAAAGTAAATCATCTCGTGGTCTTATATTTGAAGTAAAAAAAAACCTTTTCATATATGAAGTTGTTTTGGCTTGTGGAATATGGAATGTAAGATTGCCCTGATTCCTTAATAAGAATTTTGCGGTAAAAATATTGCTGTAATATTAGTAAGTCATGCAGATACTGAGGAACTAATCCGTTAACAATCTTATGAAATAATATACGTTTTATATATGTTTTTTTTCCTAATTTCTAAAGTATCTAAGCCAAGATCTTGAGCATTGATCTTGATAAATTTATTTGTTATTGTTATTATAATAGTTTGTTATTATTCGTTGCAGCTGCAACTTGATTTCATATATTTTATCATGCCGTCTCTCTCAGTAAAGATAAAAGATGAATTACTCCATTTCATTGTAAAAATAATGAAGACTATGGAAAATGTAACATGTAATTTTCGAAATCTTCCATTACTTTCATTGTTCAAATAAAAAACCTAGAAAATATTACAGCTATGGCCATATGCATGTAATTGCCATTTGCAGTGAAAAGTTTTGTGATGGTAATAGATCAATTGAATATTTGAGAAATTGCAGATATGGAATTAAATTGTTCAAGCTAAAATCTAGGAATCATTACAACTATGGAAGTCGTAAAGCGAATAAATTGCATTGTAAGGCTCATTATTAATATTGTAGCTTAGAGTAACTTGGATTTAATATTGCAAGTCGAATCCAACTTATACTCATGGTTCACTCTCTGTCAGTTTTAAATATTTTAATATTCCCAACAATCAAGTTGAATTAGAATTATCAAACCTATAGTGGATTTCTAAACTACACTGTATATTAATTTGAATTTTCATCACATTTGTAAACTTGAATATTTATATGATATGTAAACTTGAATATTAAAATCGTATGTAAATTTTAATAAAATATATGCATTAAGACAGTAGCATAACAGTATACAACTATGTTGTAACGTAGCTGAACATTATGACAAAATGCGCATTACAAATATAAAGACAAGACAGTTCACTCTAGTTTCATAAAATTTTACACAACTAACAAAATATCATTTTGAATAATGCATTCTAACTATTCACAAAAATCTGAATGAGTCTAATTCCTTTATCAAAATGTTTCATAATTCGCAGCTTACCTGTGTGTGCATATTTTTTCAATTTATATATTTTCAGCACAGAACGTGCGAATTCAAATCCAACCCTCATCAATAAATTTAGGACAAGATGATCTGATTGTTACTTGCTCCACCGTCAACCCATCACAACTTGATACAGTGTATACCATACAGCTACAAAAAAACGATACAAATACCTACTCAATGAAGGATGTGGTTTCAGTTCGTCCAAGTAATGGTCAAGATACTATAACATGGCAGGACACAGAGTTACAAAGCAGGGCAACAGCAACAGGCACTGTCAGCACACCAGCCACAGCACAGCTAAAGTTAACGATTCCTAAAGATCAAGTGTTGTGTCAACAGGATTTCACAGGATACATGTGTACAATGTCTGGATTTACAAATGTTTTAGTTACTCAAGAGACAAGTCCAGAGTATGTTACTTATATAGGTATGTACACAATCCACAATGCGGCATTATAATTACTAGTATACATTTAAAATAATTTTCAATAAATAATATATGCTGCTTAATGTGTTGATGGATTTTCTTTTAATTCAGTCCATCCAAAAGTGATTGAAATGCCAAGTGTGAGGATACTTGGTGAATTTTCTAACACACCATCAAGACAGTTTCCAGTTAACACGGCTATACAGCTGACTTGTACTGGACAAATTGGCACTGATGCAAGTGCTGTACGTGTTTTTAAAGAACATTATTAGAGTGGATAACTTTTAGAAAATCTTACTCTCAAATTAAAATCACAATTGAATTTTCATAATGTAATTATCAGGCAATCCGTTGGTGTGCTAAGAAGTCCCAAGACTTAACCTTCACTGGGCTACCACAGACCCCGATCCACTCCGAGGCCTCACCGTCTATTGGCTGTCAGTACACACGTTCCAGTACCATCACATACAACCTCACAAGTGATGACACCTACACACAGTTCCTGTGTGAGTCTGGATATTCTGGTCTCTGTGAAACAGGAACAGCCAGACAGTATCTGAATATAACCTTAGGTAAGTTGACTTTGAATAATGAGGTTCATTTAAATGAATACATATGAATGAATAAATATCGTCGGAGGCCCTAAATTCGTTATGGTCCTAGAGTCGTGCCCCTTTATTTTCCTGAAGTATCTCACAAGATTGTGTCCTCTGTATCACCGTACAGCGTTGGAAAAATTCTATTAGGATTTCTTTTGTCATATTTTACAACTGCTGACGATGATAAGGTCAAAACAGGAAATACAGTCTTAAAGAAAATTATACCCCACTTAGCATAAATCTGCTTTTACCGCATACGTTTGAAAATAGAGCCTAAAATATTTTTTTTCTTACGACCTATCTCAAGTGTTTTGGTGCTATCGTACGCATTGTTTACATTATGTCAACAGAAGTTACATACCCGATTTGGAATTTTTGGCCTTTATAATGTCATTTCCGCTGAGGTCACGACCCTAGGACCTGTTATTCAAAATGGCGCCGGGTAAACATCGACACTTTGAACGAGTTGTAAACAATCAATAAAGGCAATATTTTTCTAAACTATCAGTTCAATTGAAAGAAAAAGTATTTATAAGTAAGGTATGACTTTTTTTTACGAAACGGACACAATCAAATTAGGATAACGACTTATGGATCTCCGAGGATATATATGGGGAAAAAGTATGATCTTATTGCATGGAATTTGAACAATTTAGAAAACATAAGTTTTAATTTTTCACAACAGTTTCATATTTTAAAAAAATACAGGGCTAGATTTTTTATTATAACTATACCTTGTTCTTTGTTCGAATTCCCCCCCCCCCCCATCCCGGGCTCGAACCGAGCCTAAAAAGGAGATAGGATGTTTGCAAGAAATGTATAGTGTTGCAGTTTCCAGTTCTTTTCAATCATTGGGTGAAATTGAAACTTTAAAATAAGTTATCCAAGTTTAACATTGGAATACTTCGTATATAGAACAGTCTATTAACTATAGAAATATGTCCATAGGACATGAATGCCCCACCGAGGGTATATTAGTAATGCTTTAATAGTTTCTTTGAAATTGAAATTGAAATCTAAAAAGTTTGATATAGATGATAAATTCTCACCAAATTATGTATAAGTGCATAAGCTTACATAAATATATCTTAAATGGTTTCTTTAAAATTAAGCAAAATGCAAATTTAAGAAAAGTGAGGTCAAGGTCCCAGAAAAGTTCAAGGTCAAACGTTTTTGATGCAGTTGAATAGTTCTCATAAATACTTATCAGCATATTAAGTTTGATAAAAATATTTTGAATGGTTTATTTAAAACTGAGCTAAACACTAATTTAAAATAAATGAAGTTAAGGTCAAAAGAAAGGTCAAGGTCAAAAATTGTTGATTCAGTTGAAAAGGTTACATCAGTATGTATTAGCATATGAAGTTTGATAAAGATATTATGAATGGTTTCTTTAAAACTGAGTTAAACACAAATTGAGAAAAGTGAGGTCAAGGTCAAACGAAGGGTCAAGGTGAAAAAATATTGATGCAGTTGAATATCTTACATCAGTATGTATCAGCATATGAAGTTTGACACTAATTTAAGAAAAGTGAGGTCAAGGTCAAAGGAAAGGTCAAGGTCAAAAATTGTTGATGCAGTTGAAAAGGTTACATCAGTATGTATTAGCATATGAAGTTTGATAAAAATGTTATGAATGGACTCTTTAAAACTGAGCTAAACACTCATTTAAGAAAAGTGAGGTCAAGGTCAAAGGAAAGGTCGAGGTAAAAAATATTGATGCAGTTAAATAGCTCTCATCAGTATGTATCAGCATATGAAGTTTGTTAAATAAGATTATCGATAAGATGTCGTGATCTTTTTTTTTCTTTCCGAATATATATATATATATATATATATATATATATATATATATATATATATATATATATATATATATATATATATATATATATATATATATATATATATCCCATGTTTACCCCTTTATCCCGTGGATATGATTCATCGGATAATTTTTTCATATTCCACAGTTAAGTGCAGTTGTGACGTCACAATGGTTTTTGCGTTAAAGTGATGAAGTAAAATAAAGTGGAGTCCTGTATAAGACAGTGTAAAACATTGGATGTGAAGTATTAAACATGGGATAAAAAGAATCTCCCATGATTTGTAGTTGGATATGGCTTTTATCCAACTCGTTGTGTGTTTTTATCCCCTCGCCAAGGCTTGGGGATAAAAAACACACAACTCGTTGGATAAAAATCATACCCAACTACAAATCATGGGAGATCCTATATATATCTAATATATTATCGTCAACAGATATTAGAAATTCAAACAATCAAAAGACATCGTAAAATTACAGTTAACTTTAAAAGTTTATTGTATAATAAATCCACAAAACGTCTCAAATAAAACATTTATAAAACACGCAATTCCGGAACAGGGAATGTGCAGTCCTCGAATCATATTGTACTTTTGGAATTGGAGATCGACGCTCTCCTAGCATGGAGTATCTCATAATTAGGGAGTATCAAATTGGGAACGTCTCGTAATTACCGTTTGTCGCATATATGTAACTAAGAAACCACTGTGGTGTGTTTAGCAATTATAATTATTTGATTTCAAAGTTAAAATGTGAAACCATTATCCATTAAATATTCCGACTATTAATAAATATTATTTAAATTTTACATTAACACAACGTTAAAAAAACGGTGTGACTTCTGTAGTTTGCATACGAATACACGAGTCAGTCTGTGTACGAATTAGTTGTAGGTTGGCGTAATTTAATGAATATTCATGAAGCGAGAAATATCGATAACGGCAAATATAAGGATTTAAGCTTTGTGCCCATCAACAAAATGTCTTTGAAATAACTTGAGAGTATTTGTTAACTATCTGCATTTTATTTTCAAACATTGAATCAACCCTATTTTCATTATTTTGACTCTGAAAAAATCGCCGCTAGGGTCCCCGTGATTTTACACTGTTGTTATTTATAGCCCAAAAGCAGCAGCAATAGCCTGTGGCTATAAATAGCACCGTCTAAAAATGATGCAGTTTACTTTAAAATATATTCTGTTAACAATTAAAGGAATATTGCAATGGAAGTATAAATTGAATTAATTTGGCTACAATTTTAGGTCCGTAGGAAGTAATATCAGTGTGGGGGAACCTAACAGAAATTCTTGACAAGCGCGAAAGGGGGGATGTAATGGGGGACACATGCTGGTGTATATTATATACAAAAACTGGCAAAATTGAGGGGGCGCAAACGTAATAACCTTTGTTTTCTATTATATATACTGACAAAATTATTGGGGAAAGAACTAGTAACCCCCCTCCTCCCCACCCTGTCCCTACGGGCATGATTCTAAAAAGTAAATTGGATATTGTATGTTATATTTATTGTATATAGAGAATCTTTTGTTTTCTTGTTTGTTTCTTTAACGTCCCTTCGAGAATTTTTCACTCGCATGAAGACGCCACCAATTGCCGACGAAGGGCTGCAAAGTTAGACCTGTACTCGACACTTACGGCCTTTCACTAGTGAGGGATCTTTTTCTTGCTAGCACATACTGCAACACGGGACCTCGGTTTATACGGTCTCATCCGCAGGACAGGTTTCCACGTCCCACAGTGGGATTCGAACCCGCGACGTTACTCACTCTTCGCTCTAACCAATGCGCCATGCGGCGACGATAAAGTATCTGCAGTAACTAAAGGCTATATATGCATGAAAATTCGTTTACTAGGAGAATTACATAAACAAGGTACGATTTGATAATTATTAGTCATGTCTGGAATCACAAAGACGGCGCCTACCCTCGCAATGGGATTTATTTCCATGTACAAAGTATACAATCTCTCAAATATTTAATTGAAATGGCCTTCATATATTTCGTTAATTAAAAAGTAAATCATCTCGTGGTCTTATATTTGAAGTAAAAAAAAACTTTTTATAAATGAAGTTCTTTTGGCTTGTGGAATATGAAATGTAAGATTGTCCTGATTCCTTAATAAGAATTTTGCGGTAAAAAATGTTGCTGTAATATTAGTAAGTCATGCAGATACTGAGGAGCTAATCCGTTAACAATCTTATAAAATAATATACGTTTCATATGTTTTTTTCTTCTAATTTCTAGTGTATCTAAGCCAAGATCGTGAGCATTGATCTTGATGAATTTATTTGTTATTATTATTGTAATAGTTTGTTATTATTGATTTCATATATTTTATCAAGCTGTCTCTCTAAGTAAAGATAACAGATGACTTACTCCATTTCATTGTAAAAATAATGAAGACTATGGAAAATGTAACATGTGATTTTCGAAATCTTCCAACACTTTCATTGTTCAAATAAAAACCTAGAAAATATTACAGCTATGGCATGTAATTGCCATATGCAGCGAAAAGTTTTGTGATGGTAATACATCAGTTGAATATTTGAGAAATTGTAGATATGGAATTAAATTGTTCATGCTAAAATCTAGGAAATATTACAACTATGGAAGTCATATAAAGCGAATAAATTGTAAGGCTCATTATTAATATTGTAGTTTAGAGTAACTTTTTACTGCAAGTTGTAATCCAGCTTATACTCATGGTTCTCTTTCTGTTAGTTTTAAATATATTAATATTCCCAACAATCAAGTTGAATTAGAATTATCAAACCTATAGTGGATTTCTAAACTACACTGTATATTAATTTGAATTTTCATCACATTTGTAAATTCGAATATTTATATGATATGTAAACTTGAATATTAAAATCGTATGTAAATTTTAATAAATTTAATAAATTTTAATATATGCATTATGACAGTAGCATAACAGTATTCAACTATGTTGTTACGTAGATGAACATTATGACGAAATGCGCATTACAAATATAAACTCAAGACAGTTCACTTTAGTTTCATAAAATTTTACACACAACTAACAAAATATCATTTTGAAGAATGCATTCTAACTATTCGCAAAAATCTGAATGAGTCTAATTCCTTTATTAAAATGTTTCATAATTCGCAGCTTACCCATGTGTGCAAATTTTTCAAATTATATATTTTCAGAACAGAACGTGCAAATTCAAATCCAATCCTCATCAGTAAATTTAGGACAAGATGATCTGGTTGTAACCTGTTCCACCGTCAACCCATCACAACTTGATACAGTGTATACCATACAGCTACGAAAAAACAATACAAATACTTACTCAATGAAGGATGTGGTTTCAGTTCGTTCAAGGAATGGTCAAGATATTACAACATGGCAGGACACAGAATTACAAAGCAGGGCAACAGCAACAGGCACTGTCAGCACACCAGCCACAGCACAGCTAAAGTTAACGATTCCTAAAGACAGAGTGCTGTGTCCACAGGATTTCACTGGATACATGTGTACAATGTCTTTATTTACAAATGCTTTAGGTACTCAAGAGACAAATAAGATGTATGTTACTTATACAGGTATGTACACAATCCACAATGCGGCATTATAATTACTAGTATACATTTCAAATAATTTTCAATAAATAATATATGCTGCTTAATGTGTTGATGGATTTTCTTTAAATTCAGTCCATCCAAAAGTGATTGAAATGCCAAGTGTGAGGATACTTGGTGAATTTTCTAACACACCATCAAGACAGTTTCCAGTTAACACGGCTATACAGCTGACTTGTACTGGACAAATTGGCAGTGACGCAAGTGCTGTACGTGTTTTTAAAGAACATTATTAGAGTGGATAACTTTTAGAAAATCTTACTCTGAAATTAAAATCACAATTGAATTTTCATTATGTAATTATCAGACAATCCGTTGGTGTGCTAAGAAGTCCCAAGACTTTACATTCACTGGGCTACCACAGACCCCAGTTCACTCCGAGGCCTCACCGTCTACTGGCTGTCAGTACACTCGTTCCAGTACCATCACTTACAATCTCACTAGTGATGACACCTACACACAGTTCTTATGTGAGTCTGGATCTTCTGGTCTCTGTGAAACAGGAACAGCCACACAGTATCTGAACATAACCCTAGGTAAGTTGACTTTGAATAATGAGATTCATTTAAGTGAATACATATGAATGAATAAATATATATGGGGGAAAAGTATGATTTTATTGCATGGAATTTGAACAATTTAGAAAACGTAAGTTTTAATTTCTCACAACAGTTTCATATTTTAAAAAAATACAGGGCTAGATTTTTATTACAACCGTACCTTCTTCTTTGCTCTAATTCTTCCACCCCCCCCCCCCCATCCCGGGCTCGGGTAGAGCTTGAGAAGGGGATCGGATGTTTGCAAGTAATGTAAGTGTTGCAGTTTCCAGTTCTTTTAAATCTTTGGTGAAATTGGAACTTTAAAATAAGCTATCTAAGTTTAACATTGGAATATTTCGTATATAGAACAGTCTTTTAAAAATCTTGATCTAATGAACAGCAGGACTGTATTACGGTAATACGCTTCCTGTATGTTTCTCTCTCTCTCTCTCTCTCTTTCTCTCTCTCTATATATATATCTCAGTTGATTCGATACGCAAGAGCATGCTCTACATATGTACAATTTCTAAAAAGAGGTATTTTATTGACAAACTAGTTGATTAAACAAGAATATCATCTGTCTCGTTTAAAGTCATCATTTCGTACATGTAAGTTCTATGGTCGATACAATGAACTTGTCAGCAAATGCAATTTATCATTGAGTCAAATGCTGACAGACGTTTTTCATACTAATTGTTGGGCCATTATTTACACACTGAATTGTCGATGACAAGGAGCACACGGCGGGTGTGACCGGTCGGCAGGGGATGCTCACTCCTCCATGGCACCTGATCCCACCTCTGATGTTTTTGAGGTCTGTGTTTGCTCTGCTCCTATTTTGTATTGTTTAATGAACTTTAGAGCTTGTAAACTGTTCGTTATCTCCATATATTTCTTTCCCAAATGTTGAATATCTTGGCCCCTGGGTCAGGGTTTCTGGTGTTAGGGCGGGGCTCTACTGATCATATAGTGAAAATGCATAAATTCTTTAAAAAATCGTCTTCTCTCCCCCTGTATATAAAAAAGATAAACTAAGTGCATGGTTATGATGATCAAGGTTGTCTCTTCCAAAATGTGAAAATTTATAGCCCCAAAAATGAGGGGTTCTGCGTGGGATGGGGTCTATTAATTATATAGTGAAAGTGCAATCTTCTCTGCTCCTAGGTATTTAGCAGATAAACCAAGGAAAAAGTTATGATAAGCAAGCTGAGTGTCTCTTCCAAAATTGTGAATATCTAGGCCACTGGGTCAGGGGTTCTGGTGTAAGGTTGCACATAGTGCAAATGCATCAATTCTGTAAAAAATCTTCTTCTCTCTTCTTCTATATAAAAAGATAAACTAGCTACATGCTTATGATGATCAAGGATGCCTCTTCCAAAATTTTGAAATTTGTGGCATTGGGGGTGTGCAGGGGGGAGGCTCTATTGATTATATAGTAAAAGTGGTGCATTATTTCCTTGAAAATCTTCTTCTCTGCCCATGTTATTTAAGATACATACTAAGCGCATGGTTATGATGAGCAAGCTGAGGGCCCCTTCCATAATTGTGAATATCTTGGTCCCTGGGTCGGAGGCTTTGGTATTAGGGTGGGGCTATATTGGATCTTTAATGAAAATTTTGATATCCCCCAACTGAAAATAAACACGTATGTTTGTCCCCACCAACTGAAATTCCTTCCTATACGGGCCTGAACCAATAATATTATCAAGCATGATTTTATTAAGCTATAAATATATTTGGCTTACAACCTCCCCGTTTATTTTAATAATTTAAGTTCCTCACTTGAGTAACACCCAGGTGCATGTTTATTTAGTTTTTTAAAGTATATACGAACTGCACCAATGTATAACTCTTGGCATGACCTAGGTCTCACTATCTTTAGATATACCTGTATATACACATGAAACGGGAAGAAATTTAAAAAGCAATGGCGACTTTGTTGTTAAAAATAGTTTATCATTCATTAATATTCTGTAGATATGCCAGATTACCTTTTGTGATAGGTATGTATCACATTTGATTAATAATAGGAGAAATTCTCTCTAAGGTGGGTCCCTTCTTGACAATCTTTTGGTTTATGTATTGGTAATCTTTTCTTCCTTAGTATCATTAGAATAACATCTTAGGTGATTAAAAAGCCAGAAAAATACATGCCTTGCAGTGGTCGAGCTGTGATTCACCATTTTCGCCAAATGAGTTTTTTTTCCAAAAAGTGGCGCAAAGAAATTCAAAAGTGGCAAAAATGAAAATTTCTAGACATACCATAAAAAATTGTGTGTAGTCCTGGCTCCTTTGTTTATTCAATGCATACAGATTAGCATCTTTGTTTATTTAATAAAAGCAGGGGTCATTCATTCATTCATACTTTATTTCCCTCATTTGAGGATTGTGTGAAACATAAAGTTACATGTATACAATGAAGGATAAACACATAATAAATATAAATACAAAACTATGGCCTGTCAAACGTTGCAATATTCAATTTTTTCCATTTGTATTGTATAATTTTCCATTTATATTGTTTGATTTTTATTCATATTCTATAATTTTCCATTTGTATTATATAATGTTTCATTTGTATTGTATAATTTTCCATTTGTATTTTATAATATTTATTTGTATTCTATATTTTCCATTTGCATTGTAAAAACTCATTTGTAGTGTATAATTTATAATATTGTATAATTTCTTCTTTGTATTGTTAAATTTCTTCTTTGTATTGTTAAATTTCTTATTTGTATTGTAAAATTTCTTATTTGTTTTCGATAATTTTTCATTTGCATTGTATCCGAGGATTGTTTATTTATTTCGTTACGAAGGATTTCATTGGTCAAGACAATACAAATGAAAAATTATCGAATACAAATAAGAAATTTTACAATACAAATGAGAAATTTAACAATGCAAATAAGAAATTCTACAATACAAATAAAAAATTATAAAATTCAAACTATTTTTTTTTTACAATAAAAATGGAAAATATAGAATACAAATAGAAAATTATACAAATCAAATGGAAAATTATAGAATTCAAATAAATATAATACAATGCAAATGGAAAAGATCGAATATTGCAACGTTTGACTTGCCGTACAAAACACAAAATATTCTGTGTAAATTATAAGTTTAGTGTGGCTTCTTCCCTGGTTACCCATATATGAAGGAGACTGCATTTAGAGGCAAATACCTTAGTGCGGGTAATACTGTCTTATGACAGCATCTAATAATCATATACGTAAACTTGAATATTTATTCTATTTTAATTATTATATTTATATCATATTCAGTATGTAAAGTTCATTTTTTATATCATAAGTTAAATTGAATTTTTATATAATATGTTAACTTGAAAATTTATATCATGTGTAAATTTGAAAATTTATATCATATGTAAACTTGAAAAATTATATCATATGTACATTATCACAGGCGTGCAAAATATATCAGTACAATGACGTATGTCATAACAAATAGCTAAACAATGACAAAATGGCCATTACAAATATAAAGTCAAAACAATTCACTTTAAGCTCGTACAAAGTTTTACAGTCAACTAATAAATTATCATTTAGAAAGCGTATTCTTACTATTCACAAAAATCTTGAATGACTCATTCTTTTATATGTTTTCAGCACAGAACCTCCAAATTCAGGTCCAACCGCTATCTGTAACTTTAGGGCAAAATGATCTTGTTGTAACCTGTTCCACCATCAACCCATCACAAATTAATACAGTTTTTACCATGCAGATACAAAAAAACAATACAAATACATACTCAATGAAGGATGTGGTTTCTGTTCGTTCAAGTAGTGGTCAAGATACTACAACATGGCAGGACACAGATTTGCAAAACAGGGCAACAGTAACAGCCACTGTCAGCTCACCTGCTATAGCTCAGCTAAAGTTAACGATTCCTAAAGATCAAGTGTTGTGTCCTCAGGATTTCACTGGATACATGTGTACAATGTCTGGATTTACAAATGCTGCAGTTAATCAAGTGACAAGTCCGGAATATGTTACGTACATAGGTATGCATAGTCAGATTACACAATGTGGCATTGTAATTGTATATTTAAAATAATTTTCATTAAAAATATGTTATATTACTTGTTGCTGGATCTTTCTTGTAATTCAGTCCATCCAAAAGTGATTCAAATGCCATCTGTGAAGATACTTAATGAATTTTCTAACACGGCATTGAGAGAGTTTCCAGTTGGGACAGCTTTACAGCTGTCATGCACCGGACAGATCGGTAGTGACCCAAGTGCTGTAGGTATTCTTAAATAACATTAAAAACTACAGAAATCTCACTATTTGATTGAAATTTTCATAGAATTTTATTGTGTAATTTTTCAGACAATCCGTTGGTGTGCTAAGAAGTCCCAAGACTTTACCTTCACGGGGCTACCACAGACCCCAGTTCACTCTGAGGCCTCACCGTCGCCTGGCTGTCAGTACACTCGTTCTAGTACCATCACAAACAACCTCACAAGTGATGACACCTACACGCAGTTTTTATGTGAGTCTGGACATTCTGGTCTCTGTGAAACAGGGACAGCTAAGCAGTATCTGAACATAACATTAGGTAAGTACATGTAGGTATTAATTACTTATAAACTCATTTTTTCATATGAAATTTTGTATAGGTATGTAAACTGTAAAGAATGGCATCATGCTTAGTGTGTTACTTTTAATTGCATTTAATGTATAGCTGGTAGAGTGTTTAAGTTCTGTCATTTATCCTGCTTGGTTATAACTTCATGCAGGCCTGCAGGTCTCTGTAACAGCTAGCTTGTTAATGTGATTTGCGAAATTAAAAATAACTCTTTAATTTCATCATAATTTATTTTGTTCAATTCAAAAAGTATGTGTGATTTACTTAAGGGATGTTTTTAAGTTTTGTGTGAATTATTAGTGTGTAAATCACACAAACTTGTCACGTAGGCATATTTCATGAAGCACGCTAGCGCTTCATGAAAAATAGGTCTACGTGCAAGTCTGTGTGATTTACACATGGCCGTAGGAACCGGGGTGGCACGGGGGACCGTGCCCCCCCCCCCCAATAATTTTGCCGATATATAGATTACTATAGGAAACTTAGATACTGTATGCTTGTGCCCCCACAATAAAAACGTCTGATGAACTTTTTTTTTCATTTGCTTGTCAAGGAATTTTTGGTAGTTGTTGACTTTTTTTTTTGCTTGTCGGAAAATTTTTGGTAGTGTTCCCCTCAACTTAAAATGTATGGCTGTGCCCCCCAAACTGAAATTGCTTCCTACGGGCCTGTTACACACCAATAATTCACATTAAAATTAAAAACATTCCTTATATTTACATTTTACATGTTTAAAAGCACCAATAATATACTCAATATTTGAATTTCTTGCTGCTCTATATCGTTACATTTTTATTTACATCTCTGTAACCTCATTGTGATGTCACTTCACCGTGTATATTTCTACACGTGAGTATACACAAAAATGGCTTTCAAATCAATTTCACAGTTGGCTCAGTAGAAAAGCACAGCAAATGTTTGTTTGTATGTTGTTTAACGTCCCTCTCTAGAATTTTTCACTCATGGAGGCGCCACGACTTGCCGGTGGAGAGCTGCAAATTTTGTCCTATACTCGGCACTTACGACCATTGAGCAGTGAGGGATCTTTTTCGTGCCAGCACCTACTGCGACACGGGACCTCGGTTTATACGGTCTCATCCGAAGGACCGGTCTCCACGTCCCACAGTGGGATTCGAACCCGCGACGTAAGGATCATCTCCTTACTCCGCGATCTAGAGCAGACGCTCTAACCACTGCGCCACGCGGGCGACACACAGCAAATGTAAATATATATTAAGCAAATGTAAATATATATGAATGAATATATATGGGGAAAAAGAATGATCCTATTGCATGGAATTTGAACAATTTAGAAAGCAAAAGTTTTAATTTTTCACAACAGTTTTATATTTAAAAAAAATACAGGGCTAGATTTTTATTACAACCGTACCTTCTTCTTTGTTCGAATTCTGCCACCCCCACCCCCCATTCCGGGCTCGGGTAGAGCCTGGAAAGGAGATTGGATGTTTGCAAGTAATGTAAGTGTTGCAGTTTCCAGCTCTTTTGAATCATTGGGTGAAACTGAAACTTTAAAATAAGCTATCCAAGTTTAACATTGGAATACCTCGTATATAGAACAGTCTTTTAAAAATCTTGTTAATTCTAATGAACAGCAGGACTGTATTACGGTATTACGCTTCCTGTATGTTTGTCTCTGTATAATCAATTCCAATCTTTTTTTAGCTCAATTAACAAAGGATTTATACAGCCAGTCTAAGAATGAAATATGAACAAAACGAACAGAAATCATGCTTTTCTAGGGAAAAATTGTCAACACCCACAATAGGGATCGAAATCCTGATCATATGTCAATTGAACTCGCTACCGCTTGCTCAACAAGAATCGTTACGTTATATTAGGTATTTTAAAGTAGTTTCACTCATCTGACACATAACAAAAAATAAATATTATGCAAAAAAGTGTCACTTTTGACAAGGATTTAAAGAGAAAATCTACTGTTCGTAGTATTGTAAATCAAATATACATTTCACAAGTCATGAAAACGCATTTTCATATAACTTTTGATAAAAGAATGTGCAAGAAAATTATCAATGATATTTGGCGTTTGAACAGGGGATTTATTTAAATTGTCTTGTTAATGCAACAGTTAGCATAGCTATAACAACAGTGTTAGGTTTGTATGACTTTGCCTAAGCCGCTGTCAGGAATTGACAAACATGGCCTCGCTTCCAGCTCGTGCACAATGTGTCAAACTCCGACTCTTATTTAGGCACATGATTTTTTCAAACGTGAATCTACACTGAACTGAGGTTGCTTTCATATTTCTTTGACTAATCAAGGCTTTAGAAGATTTTTCCTATACGTTTGATCATCTATTGTGACCCAGCCCTACCCCAGGGGGACATCATTTGAACAAATTTGAATCTACACTATCTGAGGATACTTCTGAGGTGAAATGACTAATCATGACTTTGCTGTTCTTAAGAAGAAAATTTTTAATGACTTTTTCCTAAATATTCCTTTGTATAACTTTTATCCCCTGTATGGCCCCTCTCTACTCCTGGGGATCATGATTTGAATAAATTTGAATCTACATTACCTGAGGATACTTCTACTTAATAAGACTAATCATTGCTTTATTGTTCTTCAAAAAATGTCTTTATTGATTTTTTGTAATCATTCTTATGTATAAGTTTGATCGCCCGTTGTGGCCCCACCCTAAACCTGGACGTCATGATTTGCACAAACTTGAATCTACACTACCTGTGGATGTTTCCGTATAAATATGACCAATCATGACTTTTGTTCTTGAAAAGAAGATTTTTAAAGATTTTTCCTTTGAATACCTATGTAAAACTCTATCACCCATTGTGGCCACTCCCTACCTCCAGTGGTCATGATTTGAACAAATTTGAATCTAGACTGAAGATGCTACCATATAAATATGATCAATAATGGCTTTGCTGTTTTTGAGAATATTTTTTTGAAAGATTTTCCCTATATATGCATATGTAAAACTTTGATCGCCTATTGTAGTCCAACCCTGGCCACGGGGGTCATGATTGAAAAAAAAACGCGAATCAACACTACCTGAGCATACTTCCATAAAAAAAAATAACAAACCATGGCTTTGTTATTCTTGAGAAGAGGATTATTCCTATATATTCCTATATAAATCTTTGGTCGCCCATTGTGGCCTCACCCTTTCCCCGGGGGTCATGGATTGTGAAAAAAAAAACTTCAAATCATTCTCATCAACAGCAGGGCTATAATTTACTAGTAAGTTATATTATACAAGCATTCCAATTTGGTGCAGATTCAATACTAGTATGGCCTGGGAGATAGGATATAGCCATAATAAGGGATCAAATATATACTTAAAATATTAAGATTTTTTATCTTCTCAAAAGCAACGGTGCCACAATAAAGCATGACATATCCAAATATTCCTACGGAATACAGATTCATATTCTGGGATAAGGGTGGGGCTAAAATAGGGATTCAAAGTTTACATGGAAATAAAATAAAGTTAAATCTTCCTAAGAGTATCAGGGCTACAATAAGTCATATTAAAATGTCATATTAACATTTTCAGGGCCAAGGTTGGGACTGTTGTCCATGGACCTCTTGTTTTTACTTTGTTAGTCAGCATCGTTCCTTTATCTGTACCTTTATTTTCACACCATTTTGTATGACATTAATGGTTTTTTTTGTTATTGTTAATTTCAGAAGGAAGAATAATATCAACTCACAGTTTACCAAACTGTGTGTCCACCAACGGTAGGAGACATATTTGGTTATAGCATGTTTGTTTGTCAGTCTTTCCATTCAGCTGTTCTATCTGTAACAAAATGCCCTGGTCAATCTGATTCGAATCTGTTAAAATTTCCCATTAGTTGCCATTGTCGTATATAGTAGATTTAAAAGCTCAAGATCACTGAAGAATGAGATAATAAATTATTGCTAGGGCTATAATTCTTGAACTTAATTGTATATTATTCAAGTGTGTTGTTGCTAAAGACTACATGTATGATACAGTTGTGATTCAATACATATTTTAGAGGTCAGTATTATTGAGATCATAAGGTACATCCAGAACTTCTGAGTGAAATATGAAGATAACGAGCAGTAATTAGAGCAAATACGGTCCACTAAAACATCAGAGATGGGATCAGGTGCCATGGAGGAGCAAGTATTCCCTGTCGACCGGTCACTCTCGCTGTGTGCTCCTTGTCATGATCGGGCAAACGGAAAAATCCGTAGACAATTCAGTGTGAAAGTAATGACCGAACAATTTGTATGAAAAACGTCAGTTAACATTCTACTTAAGGTCGTTGAATCGACCATAGAATTTTCGAAATGTTGACTTTTAACGAGACTCTTGATATTCTTGTATCTTCAACCTATTTGTCAATAGCTTGCCTCGTTTTAGAAATTGTTCGTACGTGAATTAAACATGCTCTTGCGTGAAATGTTAAGAGAACGAAAGCTATAATGCTCAAAATCCAATTAAACAATACAAATTAAAAGCAGAGCTAACATGTACCCCTGAAAACATTAAAGGGGATCAGGTACCAAGGAGGGAAACCGTCCCCTGTCGATTGGTCACACCCGCCGTGAGCCCTTGTCATGATCTGGTAATCGGAGGCAATTCAGTGTGAAAAAATGCCCTTTAATAAATTGAAACGTATACATATTTGTCGCTGAAGACATTAAGATATGTCATAATTCAAATCTTAAACGTCAAGATCATAACGAGTTGCCTAGGAGCTTTACTGGGGAAGATCATGTTTCAAAGATCAAAGTCAATGGCTGTTGAAAAGAAAGATCACGTTCTGAACATCTGCTATTTTTAAATAATTTTTCACAGGAAGTTTTCGTTCCATATTAAGAATGCAAGAGTATTATATGAGTAATAATAGGGACAAGTCTAAATTATTGTTGATTCTCTCCTCATTTCATATATTGCTCAAAATAACTATATAGTAAAGTTTTAAATCATCTTTTCGTAAAGTTCATCCTTACTTAATATTCATTAAATGTTGTATGCTTGAAGTCTGAATGTCAAAGACTTCACAAAATACAGCAATGCATCTAATCTTAATCTCATCTTTGCATGTACTCAGTTTGAAGTCCTAATTTACAGGGTTCCCAAGATTTGGCCATTTTTTTTATTTGATCTTGAAGAAATAGGTCAAAGTCAAAAATTGTAATGCAGTGGATCTAAACTTTATCTCATTGATCTCTGTTCCAAGTTTCAAGTCTTCTTTGTTAAAATGTTTTCAAGTTATGCTCTGATTATGTTTTTCTTAGAATCTAACGGGCCAAAGTCAACACTTATGGTGCAATGCATCTTGTCTTAATTTTGTCTTTCCATGTTCATTTTTGTAAGTGTGTTCCAAGTCCAAGTCTTCTTAGAAAAACCACGGAAAGCTAAAGAGTCCACAACGTTTGCTACTTATAACAAGGAGTGGGGATTGGGAGATCGTATTTGAACTCTATATACGTGGCCCGAATCAAACACCCTCGGTGCAAACAGGAAAAACTTTTCAATTCCACTGAACTCAAAATACAAGACCCAATAGAGTCTGATATTGTTTCATATTGGATGTTTAGATAAAGAAAGACATTAATGGCAAACTAACAACAAATCTAAATGTGATCAACTCCCTTACTTAAATAGAAATTAACCATTATCACCTGCATATGGTGTTTATGTATCCAAACTGGTTCGATACTGGCTAGCTTGTATGAAGTCTCCATATGAATCTTCCATCTTTCAAAGTCTCTGAGAATGAAGTTAATGTGTGTCCTAAGATGGCTTGTTTACTACAAACCATCTATCATTCTTCTCGTTGCAAGATTAATATCTTAGTTTAAAGTAAGTGCAAATCATTTTCAGGTGAACTAAACTTACGTTAATTACTGGTCTAGTCAACAATCGTCAACTTCCCTTACTTGTGTAGAAATATACCCTTAACACCTGCCTATTGAGTTTTTGTCTCCCAGTTGATTCAATACGCAAGAGCATGCTCTACGTACGAACAATTTCTAAAACGAGGCAAGGTATTGACAAACAAGTTGATGAACAAGGATATCAACAGTCTCGTTTGAAATCATCATTTCGCAAGTTTTATGCTCGATACAAAAACATTGTTATCGAATACTACCTATCATTAAGTCAAATGCTGATTGAAATTTTTGACATACATGTACTAATTGTTAGGCCATTATTTACACACTGAATTGTCTAGGGATTTTTCCGTTTTTTCCCGATCATCAGAAGGAGCATACGGCGGGTGTAACCGGTCGGCAGAGGATGCTCACTCCTCCATGGCACCTGATCCCACCTCTGATGTTTTTGGAGGTCAGTGTTTGCTCTGCTCTCGATTTGTATTGTTTTAATGGACTTTTAGCTTGAATACTGTTTGTTATCTCCATTATTCAGTTATGGTCTTGTAGCCAGGAGTTTCCTAAGAACTAGCACTGGACCTCAGATACATATTACTCTATTGATTGAATACGGAATTACTGTTTTCACGATCAGTATTACATTTGCTGTTAGTCTTTGGAGGTATCTACTCTTTGAGTTGTTTGGGTATTACACAGTTGTACTGAGGAAGAAATGAGCAGAGGTCTTTCACAATAATCTTTTAAGTAAATCATTATCTGTTTTATTGTATGATTCAATTACATGTTATACCTTTATATTTGATTTGTCATTTGAATTGCTGGGGAATCTGAAATTTGAATAACTTAAAATCTGTAACAGTTATTTCAGTGTAGAGCTCCCTACTATTCAGGGTATTCCGGATGTACCAACGAACATATCCACTTTCTGTTTAGCCAAAAGATCTGCATTTGTTAGTAAGGTTCCCGTCAAGAAATAGTTCACATTGAATATATGTTCAAAATACATGTAGGAACAACTCATAGATGTTCGTCCCGACTTCATACTTTCCAGTTTTTTAAGGTCGATTTACTACTTTTCAGACTTATTTAGAATTTCAAATATATATCTTTAGTCTTTACTTTTCAGAAAACCTTTCTATCATTTTTGGATCGTTGTTTGGAGTTTTTTTCTGCATATGTGCAGGACTAATGGCATATTTATTTTTCTACAAGTTTTCCAAAAAACGTAGTACGTAATTCATTGTTGTTGTTATTGTTTTAGTAATGCAATTGTTATTACCGTTATTTATGTTTTACTTTAAAAAAAATCAAGATAACAAACCTGATTATTTTTACGCTTTTTTGTATTCTGACTGTATGTACGTATTTCATTAATCTCCAAAATATTTCTTTTCTTTTTCAGGAGGAAATCATGTCGAGAAAAATGGGTAAGTGCAAATGAAAATAGGCGATTCTCTCAGAATAGTGAAGAAACACTCATTTTTCTTCAAAATATTGGCCTGTGTACATGTAACGTCGGTCTACATTTTAGACATTTTTTTAAAATTAAAATTAGTTATTAATTTTTCTTGGATATAAAAGGAAGACATTTATTAAAAATATGCGTGTATTCTTTTAATGCCAACTTAATTTTAAAAAAAAATTGATAAATAAACCAATGATAATCGGAATTCTTTTTCAGCAAAAATGGAGATTACGTCATGCATGTTACTGGTTTTGATGACCACCAATATCAGGGTATTGACGGAAATGCTAGAAGTAAGCCGTTACTCAATAGCATGTATTTCAGTATAATACGAATATAAAGGAACATTTGGGTGTAAATGTAGCGCCAACCTATAGGGCTGGGATTGATTTTAGTCTTTACAAAAAGCTTGTCGTTTTCCGTTCCGGTAAATGACTTAAGGCTACATACATGCACTTAATAGTTTTTCATACACCATTTCTAGTAAATGCATGACGCATGTAGAGATATGATGGAAGCTAGGCACTTATTATGTAGCATTTCATTTAATAGTTTTCTTTACTTTTCACATCGTCGGATACCCGCGGGTGATCTCGTCTTTTACTCATCACCCGAGGGCAAATTCGCCGAAATGTTGTTAAATATTTAAATTCGTCGCTTATACACAACCAATCAGAAAGTTGGAAGTCTTCAATTTTGAAAATATGTTTGTTAGTTTGCTATTTAATCTAATAGTGACGCCCGTTAAAAGGTGCGAAATTGTTTTAAAAAGATAGAAGACAAGTCGTGTAGATCACGGGTATCAAATACCAGTCAGGAATAATATAAGAATTGCTTTCTCAAATGCAAAATGCACAGATGTGTTGATCCCCCCCCCCCCCAATAGGTGTGTTAAATACGGAAACGTTTTTGTCATTGCCGAAAATTCATACGTTACGTAAACTGTGATTGGTTGATTTGCCATCGAGATTTCTCTGGCTCTCTGCCCTTGATTCCAGTCGCTGCCACTAGGAATTATTGCGCCCGTTAAGCAATGTCAGGGTACCAGTCTAAACAGGACTCTGAGCAGCAGCCAATCAAATGGCCCGTGCATATTAATTACATACGGGTATATCTCAACGATTTGTCCACGGGTTACTTTTGTAGCTTCTCAGTCATTTATGGTTTAACGAGACGGAAATGTTTCACTGATTGAATAAAACATACACATATGAAACTTCACAATCAATTCGAAATTTGAAATGAAATATAGCGGAAATCGAACTTCTGAAAGTGTGTGGTTTACTTTATAATAGAATTTGTGTAAACTGTATGAAGCACTTAATAGACCTGTATTTACGAACAAATCTTTACAAAAACTAGTTTCTCTATTTTTTCTTTCTTTGTTGCAGAAACTACACACCAAGAGAACAAGTAAGCTTCAACTTTCTGAGAAGAATTTTTGATAAATGTCTTTATATGTATCTATTTTTTTTATATTACAGTTTTTTATTCATTTATTGTGTTGACAGCGCACAGTATGATGTTTTGGGAAGTAGAGACTCTGAGAATGTCTATGACAAAGTTAAAGATGTCAATGCAGGTATTGTGATAATGCTTTTATGCATAGACTGATAATTCTGGACTCATTTAGAATATTGAAAAGGCAGATTTAGTTCAATGAGAACGTGTTGAAAAAGACTGTAAATCAGTCATTCCACAAAAATGTTACCAAATAACATTTTTTATGTAGCTTACATATTTACCATTGTAACATCATATTTATACAGTAAAAGATAATTTCAACTCTAAGAGACAGGTCACGGTAGCCTAGTGGTAGGGCGTTCTCTTCATGATCGGGAGATCCGGGTTCGATTCTCGTTTGCCGCGCCGCGCCAAACCTGCGACGTACACAAAGGTAGTGACTGTTCCATCGCCAAGCGCCCGGCACTACAAGTGAAAGTCACGCGGGTTTTTCGGATAAGAACTTAAAAACCCTCACTGCTCAATGGCCCTGAGTGTCGAGCATAGGTCTAAATTTGAAGCCCTTCGCCGGTATACGGCGACGTCTCTATATGAGTGAAAATTTCTCGACTTGGAATGGGACTTAAAACAACATACAATCAATTAACTTTTAAGATTTTAACATAGAAACATACATATTTAACGATTAAATATTCAGTTAAGAGTTCAGATATATATAAACATGATAATGTCATGTTAAAAAACCTTTCCACTGCAAATCTTAATGACGCTTGTATAAATGTTCCGAAATTGCTGCATGGATATCAGAGAAAAAAATGTTTTCTATGAAAAGAAAACAAACCGTTTCTCGCAAAGAAATGCATGAATCTTTGTTTCATACGAAGTCGTAGTAGCATGTCGAGGAAATTTAATTAACTTCCGTAAGGTTTTTGTTTTAAATTTCACACTATTAATGGAGGTCAGACAGTGAACTGGAATTTATCAGAAAGTGACCATGAAAGCTATTATAAATTTATAATCGATTCTAGTTTCGCGTCAGATAATAAAGAAAGACCATTACTTTTTCGACAGAACAAAATTAATTAGACAAGAATAGTTGAATGTCTCTAAAAAAGTTAACATCCAGAACAGTAATTCAAGAATGTATTTGCGTTAAGATAAAAAAGGTTTTATTATTTTGGAAGTAAAATACTTAATACTTTTGATAAACATCTTTAAAAAACGTTAATTATATTATTTATGTTTCCGAGAGTTTCAATTTTTATTGGTGAAAATTAGTAGTTTTCCTACTAAAAATAGCTAAGGTTGTTCAATCTACTGTTTATACACTAAAAATTTATTAAGCAGTTGATATTGACAAACTTTGTTTTTACAAACCGTTTCATATATGCTTGTAGTATTTTTTTTTTTTAATGTGTTTATTTTTAGAAGAACGGCAGTGAGCATGAGGTCAAACACCTGTGTAACAGTAAAAAATCGTCCCGTCATCAATAAAATTCAGTTTTTAAAAATTCCATTTTTTCCTTTATAATCCGACGTATATATATATATATATATATATATAGATAGATAGATAGATACATAGATAGATAGATAGATTTTTATGTCGAAATAAAGTACTGTATACAATGTATATAAACAATCTGGGGGCTGAGAAAGAGGGGGGAAGGGGAAGAAATTATCTCTGTATGGTCTTAAGTATTGAAAAACTCCTATTATTATGAATATTAATCCCTTTTCCCACTTGTAATTATCATTGACTCCTCTTCCAACACACGTTTATTTGTCAATAGATCATAGACTTTTGGTCATATTTTGTATGGTTTCCCTTCGTATGGCTTTTTTGTATGGCTTCCATTTGTATCCCTTCCTTGAATAGGAATGATGATATAGATATTTTAAGAATGCTTAAGCGTTAAACAGGTCTTGCACAATCTTAAAATTGATTAAGCTCTGTTGCAGTAGCTGAATTAGCTATACTGGTATACATGTAGCTTGATTTTGCTATTCAAAGCACCCTGATTTATCTACATGTAATTAATCATATACTTCTTTCTAAATGTGCAGTTTTTTAAACATGGATAAAGGTATACATTTTCAGCTTTAAACTGTTCTGAAAACAATGCATGGAAATTTTTTTTTAAATATTGTGTCTCCTTCCTAGCATTTGCGATCAAAAGTTTTTAAAGTTTTGCGTTGGGCTACATGTACTAGTATATACCTGGGGTAATCTCTCTCTCCTCTTTCTCTCTAACACCTACTTGCGCCAAAGATTAAAATGGAATTATAAGTCAAGTTTTTTTTAAATTGATAAACTTTTTAGAATTTTACACTGTGTAATTTATACTACAACTAGAATGATATCCCTCCCAGAAATATGAAAAAAAAAGTTATCTTTGATCTACATCTAATTACAAAAGGACACAACCAGAAGTGTTTTCTCATAATTTGTTACAAATTTCACATGGATCTCCTATTGCTCAAGAACGTGTAAGTTCCTAACTTTAATCCTTTGGAAAATACATGACTGTTATTTTTGTTATGCTGTTATATTTGAAAACTACTCACTGTGGACCCTCACCTGAATTGTTGGAGACAGGTTAACATACCCCTCAGAGTACAAATATCATAAATGGGCTTGTACACAATTGAACCAGTCAGGATTAAATCTTCATTATCTTACTAGTTAAAATATCAAGAAACGCGCTAGAGGTGTGATGAAATATTTAGATATACAAAAAAGTTTTATTTCAAGTGTAAAATATTTCTCTGTAAAGCAACGTGTAAAATATAGTTTTTTCGTCACAATTTTTTTTTTACAATTACTTCTCAAGAATTAACTTTTGGGTCATTTTAAACAAAATTGCCTCAAAGTGTCCTTGGGTGAAGGGAATTTAAATTTATTCAAATGAAGGGCACACCTCTTTCAAACGGAGATAAGACTGAGTGCAAACTTTAAAAAAAATCCTTTCAAGAACCCCTGGGCAAGAAAAATTGAAACTTATAAAAGCTTCGTTACATAGTGAATCGGTCACAGTAGCCTAGTGGTAAGGCATTCGCTTCGTGATCGGGAGGCCCGGGTTCGATTCTCGTTCGCCGCGCCGCGTCAAACCTAAGACGTAAACATATATGTAGTGACTGTTCCTTCGCCAAGCGCCCGGCACTAGAAGTGAGAGCCACGTGTCTTTCGGATGAGATCTTAAAAACCGAGATCCCGTGTCACAGTAGGCGCTTGAACGATAAAGACCCTCACTGCTCAAAGGCCCTGAGTGCCGAGTATAGGTCTAAAAAGCCCTTCACCGGTATACGGTGACATCTCCATATGAGTGAAAAATTCTCGAATGGGACGGAAAAAATACAATCAATCAATCATTACACAGTGTAAAAACAAATTTGTTCTTTCAAAACTCCATCCATCCTACAGTTTTGACCTGATTTCAAGACTTGGAGCAAAAGTAGACTTTATGTATGCATCGGTTTTTGATTTCCTTGAACAGTGTTGCTTTAGTTAGTAAAAAATTATATTTTTGTGAAATTTATTCGAACTGCTACTCCTCCTTCAGTTTTTGTTAAATTTCAATGAGACATGGGAAACAGTAAGCCTACAGTAATAAACATAATTCATGGTTACTAAAAGTAGAAATTTCTATGAAATTTATTCAAAATCCTACTCCTCCAACAGTTTTGGTTGGATAACAATAAGACTCGGTAAAGAAGTACATCATACTAAGATAGATAATTTTCTTATAGGTTTTTGATTTTGATGAACAGTATTGCCATGGTTGCTTTGTATAGTATTGAAAGTAGTATAGTATTGATTTTTTTTTTATTTCAAAACGCTACTCTTCCTACAGTTTTGGTCTGATTTCAATATGACTTGAGTAGAAGTAGATTAAAGTAATATAAATACATGTAATTCTTTACAACAGTTCTTTTGATTTTGACAAACAGTGTACTAAATAGAAATTCATTCAAAATACTACTCAAAAAGTTTTGGTCTGAATTCATTTTCAATGTCTTGATGTTCAAGTAGACTATACTAAGATACATAATTTCATATACTTAGTATCATTTTTTTTATTTCAAAAAATTATGTTGTCATGTTTACTAAAAATAGAATTAATTTTTTTTTTCAAAAACACTACTCATAAAGATACATCACGTTCATCATATATGTACAAACCAGTAAAGTAGGGCTGGAATGGTACAACTTCTATATCGATATGTTTTATGATATTTTTGTCACAATAAGATACATATCAGGCTATTTTAGATGAGATATAAAATCTTATTGTATTGAAATGAACAAAATATTTCTTCACAATTAAGAATAATTTATTCATGGAATGCATTTATCTGTTGTAAAACAAAATTATTTAACAAAAGTGGTGTTAATTATAAATTTATTTCATATTTATAGTTATAATATCAGCAAATTTGTTTACATAATAAACCTGAATGTTAAGTAAACAAAAAAAACTGAAAATATGTTTTCGATATTTCTGTATTTTTACATATACATGTACGTATTGATATGTTGTCCCAACACTATAGTAAAGCTACAGTCTCTTTAGAGACTTCTAGTGAATAGTAAAAGTATTCTGTTGGGCAAGTATCCACGGAGTTATACATGTGTAACCTATCTCATTTAATAATTGTTCAAATATCTTAAAAATATTTCAGATTCCAACTCTCAAAGCAAATATCCACATAAAATAATACACTTAGTACCAATTTTTATGGTCGTTTTCAATCCCAAATCGGGAGGTCGTGGGTTCGAGCCTCGGCCGCGACTGACCTAAGTCGATAAAAAATAGGTAGCAACTGTTCCTTCGCAAAGCGCTCGGCACTTTGAAGTGAAAGTTGCGGGTCCTTCAAATGAGACCTTAAAAACAGAAGGCCCCGTGTCACGGCAGGCGCTGGCACGATAAAGATCCCTCACTGCTCAATGGCCCTGAGTGCCGAGTAAAGGTCTAAATTGGAAGCCCTTCACCGGTATATGGTGACGTCTCTATATGAGTGAAAAATTCTCGAACGGGACGTAAAACAACATACAATCAATCAATCAATCCCCAATTGGCCCCTTGGGTGTAAAATGAAAATTCCAAGACCTTTCGAAAGATAATTTGGCTCTTGCATAGAATTTAAGAGGAGTGTTCTGTAGATGTGCAATAAAATTTGGAGTTTTAAATATTACGCCATGGGCAAAACGAGGGCCAAAAATGTTTTTTTTCCCCTACTAAAACCTGGTTCCCAGAACTCCTCTTACATTTTACGCAGTAGCCTTATCATCTTTTAGAAAATGATTGGTGGTGTCCTGTAGATGTGCAATAAGATTTCGAAATTTTCATTTTCATCCTGGGGGTCAAATGGGGGTTGAAAAATGACGGGGTTTTTTTTATACAAAAAGACCCTGGTACCCAGAACTCCTCTTACATTTTATGCAGTAGACTAATCATCATTTTGAAGATGATTGGTGGTGTCCTATAGATGTGCAATAAGGTTTCGGAATTTTTATTTCCACCCTGGGGGTCAAATGGGGTCAAAAAAGACCTTGGTTCCCAGAACTTCTCTTAAATTTGATTCAGTAGCCTGAATTTTAATTTCACCCTGGGGGTCAAATGGGGATCGAAAACTGACGTTTTTATACAAAAAAGACCCTGTTCCCAGAACTCCTCTGACATTTTATGCAGTAGCCTAATCTGATGGTGTCCTGTAGATGTGCAGTAAGGTTTCGGAATTCATTTTCATCTTGGGGGCCAATAGGGGTCGAAAAATGACTTTTTTTCTGCATTTGTAATCTACTTTCAGTATATTACCATGGCAACATCATTCATGGAAATCGAAAACCGATAAACCTTGAATTATGTACATAATTTAAGGTTATTTGTGCACCATGTTTGGGGCGAATTACATTGTAAAGTAATGCATTACATTACCATTACTTCAAGAGTTTGGGCATTGGATTACCACTACCATTACTTAAATTTCTTAAAGTAAGACACTACATTACCATTACTTGAGTTAAGTAATGCATTACCATTACCATTACTGTTGGTTTTTTTTTCAAAAATAAAAATACAAAACTGCAAAACTATTTTCATAAACATGCATCCCACCCTTGATGAATGATAATTCAAATTTAATTTACAGTACTTTTATTTATTACACTGTAAATAATTTACATATCTTTTTTTTATTATTCATATGAAGTTCAAACTTTTCAATTGCCAATAAGATAAAAACATGTACAATACACTTTTTGGGTAATTATTGATGTCATGAAGCAATTTAACCTTTGCTGCAATTTACTCCCTCCCCAAAACTAAAATTGAACTTAATAAGACATATGAAGATCAAGTACCTTAAATTATGACAAAAATTAAATGTATTGACCAACTTGTACAAAGGGTTGGGCAGTATGTACATTTCTTCTGAAAGTAGAATACCCGTCTTCATTTCCTTTTAGTGCAATGGATTTGTTATGGTCAGCTCAAGTTAGACCAGCTCAATT